AGTAAATATTTATCAAAGTATTTCATTTTGCCTATGTTCAATAACTCTGATGACTTCGATTATTTACGTCATCAGTTATTGACAGCATCAACAGCTACAGCATACGATAAAGTAACCAGAATCTCAACTACCAATCAAAATCATGACAAAAACACACAAAATCATATTCAACAACCTACAAAGAACAACGAATTAATAACAAGAAAACGTCTCATCATTCATTGAAGACATGAAAAAAGACTTGCGAATAATCAAGATAACTAACCTTTGAAAAAAAAATATTCAGAGATCTTTCGACAGGTATTATGAGTCAAACGCTAGAATTTTCTCATTTAGAATTCGATTAGCTTTACCTTCAGTAGACAACTTGAAAATATGGACTTGTAGTTTCAATAATCTGTAGATCCCTTGATAAAATGAAACACCACTGAATGACGCTTACATTTAGATATATTATTGGGCAGCAGCGTAGCAACGAACAACTAGCCTTTTACATCTACAAACATAGTTCCTCATTGTTTATTTTTCATAAACCTACAATTATATGCCATTTCAATTGAATCAAAAAGCTGAATTGCATGTTAATCATCTACTATCTGCAACAATTAGAGAACATTTAGATACGCAGAAGTGTTGATGAGGAGCCAAGACAAATGTTTCATTCAAGCGCGCTAAATGCTTGTCTGCTTCGAAAGTAGAAAGGAGAATCAGAAACTAGTGTTCAATATGCGTTATCGTATCTCTAAAAGAAATATACACAGTTTTTTAATACTGATAATTATTGCTAAAATGACAACTAACACAGTATGTCCGAGCGCAAGAGTGTGAATGTTGAGTCAATCATGATATGCTCCTTTTGTATTTCTTGACAAGAATTAAAACAGACAACTAACGGTTAAGAACGGGCTATGATTCTGTCAAGTAATGCCAATGAAAACTTTTTCTAGGATGTAAATGGGGCACGTCACACACTGAAATGTCTTCCACTCTACAAAGCGTCTAAAATTGTTCTTCTTCTCGACAATAAAAAGCAGAAGTAGCATCGCATAAATAAATTTTCTATCTTTAAAAAAACAGAGACAGACGAAAATGTGTTTTCATTATGCCGAACGTACAGCTTCTCGTGATCATTCAACATATCAATATTTATATCGTCTTTTTTGCTGCTAACATCAGTACGATAGGTAGCATACGCCATATCATTACGTTTACTTGTTTGAAAAAGTATCGCATCATTTCAAATTCAGTATTTCTGGCTGGAGCATCTCTTGCTGAACAACTAACTATTATTGACCTTCTTTTTCCACAATCAATTGGCTATGTAACAGGTCATAATCCTCGAGTCATGTCATCTCTACTTTGCAAAATAAGTTCGGTTCTCTATAATGGTGGCGGTGTATTTGCTCTTGAATGTTTATACTTGGCCGCAATTGATCGCTACTTACAAACATGTCGATCAGCTGTTAAATGGCAATGGATGACATTGAAGAGAGCTTTATTACTACTTTGTATTTTTGCCTTCCTCTCTATTGGTTTGGGCCTTCCTTTTGGTATATTTCGGGACGCAGTACCTAACATTGGACAGTGTGACTTTATCAATGCTAAATTTGCTCGTCTTTTTTTCTATTTTTATGCAATTATAGGTATAATATCACCAGCTGCAATTTTAGTTGTTTTCGGCTATCTCACTTGGCGCAACGGTCAACAGACTCAGCAACGTCAAACTACAGGTCAAAATTCTAATAATATTGCTCAACAACCTACTCGAATGATTTTGATTCAAACAACCTCTATTGTCATCTCAGCAGTGGCAGAATTCTCACCAAGCAAAATTCGAGAATTCTGTTCATTTATAAACTATGTTATATTCTTTCTTTCCTGAATTATTTTCTTTCCTTCTTGTATTATTCTATCCGCACACACACACA